CCACAACGACTGAATCCGTGTGCCACAACTACCGGAGCCCATGCGCCTAGAACCCGGGCTCCGCAACAAGAGAAGCCACTGCAGTGAGAAGCCCGCGCACCTCAACGGAGAGTAGCCCCCGTTCGCCGCAACCGCAGACAGCCCACGCGCAGGAAACGAAGACCAAACACAGCCAAAAACTAAAATAAATTAAAAAAACAAGTGTTACGGACTGCATGTTTGTGTACCTTCCAAAATCCATGTTGAAAGCCTAACAGTGTGATGGTATCTGGGAGGTAATTAGGCTCAGGTGAGGTCATGGGGGGGGCTCCCCATGATGGGATTAGTGCCCTTACAAGAAGAGGAAGAGATGCCAGAACTCTCTCTCTTTCCACCATGTGAGCACACAGCCAGAAGGCAGTCATCAGCAAGCCAGGAAGAGCGCTCTCACCGGAAACCAAAATGCCCAGCACCTTGGTTTTGGACTTCCCAGCCTCCAGAAGGATAAGAAATAAATGTCTGTTGTTGCCACTCAGTCTATGGGATATTTGCTATAGTGGCCAGAACTAAGACAAGAAGCCTCCAGATAAGGTGCCTAAATCCCATCCTTGCAATGATGACCTCAGCTCCATAACCTATCACTGTCCTCTCTGATGAGCTCAGGAAGGCAAGAAAAGTTGTGCGGGTAACCACTTCCCTTCCTCTTTGAACTTCACTGCTCCAACGTCTCTCTCTCCCTAGTGTCTATCACAGGTTCAGGGTTCAAAGGAAAGGCGAAGGGAGGAAGAATAAAAAATGTCTCATTTATTCCTTCACTCCACGATATGGGAGTGCCTGTGTCATAGGAGGTGCTGGGCTGGGCGAAGCCCTCAGGCAGCTGCTTTTCACAACACTGTGGCTTCCAGTTCTCTTGCCCAGAGGGAAGCCGCTTTGCTAGCTCTCCCTGGCTCCTCCTCTTCCCCTTCTCACTGCCCCTTCTCGAGGGAAAATAAAGCTCCTCTTTGAACCTGAACAGGACAAAGTTCCCAAGGCTTCTGCTTGCGAACTTGTGGGGGAAGAGGAAGAACGGGTTAAACCCTGAGGCTCTCCTCCACCTCACACACAAAGAGAGGTTCGACTCAATCTAGTGGGAGGCCTCACAGGGAGATCTAGGGGTCCCTAAACTCTGAAGCCCTTGGCCCATTCTCCCCGAAGCCCTGCTTGAGAAGAGGAACAGGTGTGATGGCAGGTGACTCTCCCAGGGTAGGTGCCACCGCCTGGATCCTGCTTGCCGCTGATAACCTCACAGACCTGGGGATGGGCTCGGCTCAACTTGCCCGTGGAGCAGGCAATGGTTCGAATGGGTTTTGAGTGCTCTTGAGACTACCACTTCTCTCTAGGCAGTGTTCTCCTTCCTGTCCTCACTGTTCTTGACCCTCATCCCTCATCCTCTCTGTCCTGACGTCTCTACTCAACTCTGTCCAGTGTCAGCTCTCATTCTCCTGCTGCCTCTTTCTTCCTTCAATTAAAGCAATTCAAAATGTAAGCCGGTATGTTCACTCCTTGATTGCTAGAGTCTCACTCTCTTCCAGAATCAAGTTGCAAATCTCTATCCAGGTGCTCTTTTCTCCCAGCGAGACACCCCCAGCAACTTTAACCTTGCTCCCGTGGTATCTATGGGCCCCTGGCAGATGCTCACCTTCCTCTTCTCCTGCCCCCCTGGGCTGAGCTTCCTTCCTCTCCAGAGCATGCTGCAGTTGCAGGCCAGGCAGGGAAGTTACCTCCTAGGACACACACCTTGCCCCAAAGTGTTCGGCTTTGTTCTCCTCTTCCCCCAGCCCTGCCACGCACTCCATTCAGAGAGCAACTACCCCACCTACTGTCCTCCCTGCTCCCCAAGTACACACACTCACACGCGTGCGTGCACACACGTGCGTGCACACACGTGCACACACACACACACGACATCCCCAGACTTAGCACCTGCGGTGCCCCCTTCTGTATAAAGAAAGACTAAAGTTGTTCTTGCACTCCCCTCTTCATCGAATATTTGGCCAAATCTATCCAGGGACCTCGTTTGTCTCATATGTCCCAGGGTTGCATACCAAAAAAGTAATGTAACCCACCCCCTCCCACCTTAGGCAGCAGGTGTAAACAGATCAGAGTCCGAAAGATGGTGATGAGGTGCCTCAGAGATAATGAAGATTATCCACACCTGACAATCCCCAGAGCTTGGCCCTCGGCCCTGTTCCCTCCTTCTGGCCCTGGATGCCTGCTGAGATGCTATCTTGCTTAAAACAATGGGAGAATGTGCTTGGTGTTTTTAAATTGTGGTTGTTAAGTCTCTGCTCAGATATAGGAGAACATGGAAAGGAGGAAAGGAGGCAGCTACTCCCTGACACCGACCAGTGTTTGAGCCCACTGACCCAAACGATATCATACAAGGGGCAGGGGCTGTGCTCTAACACCTGAATTCCCCTATACCCAGCCCTCTAGCCCTCGCTCTCCTCCCTAAGGTCCCCACCTAGAGCCACTGCTGTCCTTCTAACGTAAGGCTACTGAAGGAGCTTGCTTTCTGCCTTCTCCACCCCAGCCTCCCAGCCCCTAGGTACACACACACTCACCTTGGAACATGCGCGCTACACCTTATCCCCTCACACGCTGGAGGGAACAATGCAGCAAAGGGAAAGCAACAGTCAGGGGACCCACCTCCAAAGCTCAGGGCCCAGGGCAATGGCCTTGGTTTTCCAGGTAGCTCCCAGGGCAAATGGTGCCCTCACTGGTCTACCCCCAAGTGCCAAATCCTCACAGCCGTGTGCTTTCTAGGGTGGAGGCACCGCATATTCAGAAGGCTTGTATTCATTTCCACAAATATGAACTATGAGCGTTCATTAGCTCTTCAGAGTTGGTATCTAGTTCAACCTCCCATAGAACCTCTAATTAATGTACCCTTCCTTTTCTCTGTCATTGGCTTAGGGTTCCTGGGTGTTCCCTGGGCCAAAGAATACTACTCCTGTTCTGTGGGCTTAGGGCAGGTTTCCTGTCACTTCAAGCTGTGTGGCCCAGGCTAGCTGCCCTTTCTAAGGGGAAGGCTAGGAGGGAATACAGAAAGAAACTGACTCATTGGCTTCGTGGTGGTTTCTATTTCTCTTTCTTTGCCAGTTCTCACCTCTGCTCTAGAAATCTGAATGCTAGGCTAAAGGGTTTGGGTTTTATTGGACAGCTGAAGTCATCAGATGTTCCTGACATAATCAGGCTTGATTTATAAAGACCATGCTGACTGCAGTGTGCTGAATGGATTAGAGGGACCAACACTAATATTAGGGCGACGAGAGGCTGGGAAGTTGCTGCAGAAATTCAGTAGGAAGATGCCCAAGGCCTGATCTGGGGGTGGCTCATGTCAACAGAGAGATAAGAAGAGACTTGGGATGTTTTCCGGAGGTAGAACCAATACAACCAACCTGGTGGGAGTTGAAGGCTTGCGGGACAGAGGGGCAAGCACCTGGGTCCCGGGTGGGTGACGTAGACTAGACAGAGATCACATGCTCAGTTTTGAAGAAACTCTATATGGTGAGTACCCAGGGTGCACAGAAGGTGTGCTCAACTGCCCTCCCCATAGAGCCTGACAGATGGAGCAGAAAATTCTACCTTGAGCACCATAGCGCCCTCTGGCCTGCACGCCCATTCTGTGGGTAGTGCTCCTCCACTCACACCAGGGAGTGTACTTCACGTGTGGGACCTTCTCAAGGGAGTGTGGAGCGAGCAGAAGGCCTCGTGCATGTGAAGCCAGAGAAGTGGGAGAAATTCCAGGGTCAGAGCAAAAGGCCTGGAGGTTGGGAGCCCAGGAGCACCCCGACTGCAGGTCTCTGCAAGTCAGGAAGGTGGGATCTCGAGAGGCAAAGCTGTAGAGCCTGGGAGAGGGCCACTGGTATGCTTACGTGGTGGGCTGCCTTCCTGTGTTTCAGCTCTCCTCAACAGAAAAACCCCAGGTGTCTACACATGAATTTACCTACAAAACAGGAACAGACTTACACACATAGAGAACAGACTTGGGGTTGCCAAGGCGGTGGGGGGCGTGGTGTAGGGGACGGAAGGATTGGGAGTTGGGGACTAGCACATGCAAACTGTTATATATACAATGGATAAACAACAAGGTGCTACTGTATAGAACAGGGAACTATATTCAATATCCTGTGATAAACCATCATGGAAAACAATATGAAAAAGGAGATATATATACACATATATATATATATATATATATGTATGTGTGTGTATATATATATATATGTATATATATATATATATGAATCACTTTGCTGTGTGCCCAAAATTAACACAACACTGTAAATCAACTATACTTTTCCAAAAAAACCAAAAAGCCCTCAACATCTATAAGCGGTTTACCTCCAATATGTGGAGTCAGATGGATACCATATCCCATCAGCATCCTGTCCAAAACCTTCTGGACCACTTTCATTTGCATAGTTTTTGCTGAAACAGAGAAGTCACTGGTCATCAGTAAAGGCCACATTGTTTCCCAGAGGACAAGCAGCAGAGAAGAGCGCAGCTGTCACCTTTCCAGGGCTTTCCCTTCTCCTGCACACATGTAGACATGTATAGTCGTATGGGTACACGTTCTCTCCCCCACTCCCTTCTCTCCCCACCCCCTTCTCTCCCCACGGTGAGTCAGCCAGAAGCACGCAGTGAGGCAGACTCCTCCTCCCCCGCCCCAGCTTTTATGCAGAGGATGGGGCACAAAGACTGGGTCCACGTTACCAAGCAGGATGAGGGGCTGCGGGAGCGGGGGCAGGCATTCTGGGAAGTGGAGAGGAGAGGAAGCAGGCAGGGGGCAGCCCTCAGAAAAATGCATTACCTCAACCCCCTAAAGAGCCCCAGTTTGTAATCAGCAATGGACACAGCTCTCCAGGTCGGTGGCTGTCCTTCCAGGGGCAGCTGATTGCCCCAGGAAAAGTACTCTTCCACCCTCAGTGCCCTCCTGAGCTGAGCTAACAAGTCTACGGCCTCTAGCACAAAGTCACATTTCCCCACCTGGGCATTTTCTTGTCATACCCATGTCAACCTTGCTCTTGTACACCTCTGATTTTAGAACTGGGCATACGGCTTGACACAGAGAGACAACCTTCTGGCCCTCGCCCAACAAAGTCATTTCACACTCTTAGGCCTCAAGGCTGTCTTCTCAAAGACATTCATTCTGGGAGCTGGCGTTTCTCTCACTAATCATGTATTTCCAGCCTGGAGGTGTCTTGGCTGAGTATACGCAAGTAGCCAGCCAGAGCCCTGCAGACAGCTGGGCTTTCCAAAGCTCTCTGATGTGCTCACCCAACACACCTGAGACCTTCAGCAGGGCTCTTTCCTCCCAGAGGGCGTGGGAATGGGAACCAGGCCCTGAGCATCACTGTCATCCTAATGTACTCCCACACGTTGACCAAGGAACATCAGTTCCTGCAATGTGTGTGTGTGTTCACTATATGTCCTACAAAGTCACCACAAGTAATGAATCAGTGACTACTAAACCACTGCTCCTAGGGGAAATACAGGGTTAGGTTCCTGCGAGCCTCTGGTTACAACACTTTCATCAACCAATCAATATATAAACTCGTTTTATGTCTGTTTCTCTTTCAATTTATAATTTAATCCAATTAGAAATCAAGAATTTACTAAAAGAATGTATATTAACAAAACGCTAAAAGCGTCTTCCAACAAAAAACTCTAGAATCTGTCCAAGTCTAAATCACTGGACACTCCCAGTAGTGTCTCCAGAGGCTCCTTCATTGTTGAGGCTTTAGTAACCTCTGTTCATGCCCCATGGCATCTCTGGACCACACACGATGGTTGTAAGGTGCCCACGGGGTACTGAGGCAAGAAACTGCCCTTCTTGGCCTTGTATTATAAACCATTAGAGTGGCAACTGTCAGCCACATACCGGGCCATCCTCAAAATAGAGGTTCTCACAGACCCTGGGCCTGTGACCCTCTGTACCCAGGTGCCCAGGATGCCTTAGATCATGGAACCAGCACCCCAAAACCTCAGCATGGTTACTGAGGCCTCCTTGATACCAGATAGCTTTCTGGCATATCTTTCTTGCAAGAGGGCATGGCCTCAGCTGTCCTTAGTCCCTTGCCAGATGAGATAGTGGTAGAAGGAGACACCCCTCTCCCAGACTTCTTGGCTACCTGCGGAGCCCCTTGGAATCAACTGAGTGGGCAATATTGGGCATTGTACACTACATATGGTATGGTCACCATCATCCATATTACTGCTTTCGATCCCTTAACCAAGATGCCTATGATAAAGGACAGGACCAAAGAGTCAGCACAATTGACCAAACTTCAGTCATTTTAGTACTCGATGCCCCGGCTAACAAATGGGCCCATCTTCACATTTTTATAAACTCTTGGCTCATTTCCTAAATGTTGTCCCCTCTGAGGTAAAGAACTCTGGGAATCACTTGCCTCACAGATACCCAAAATATAGATCAAGATGTTAGGGACTGACAGAATGGCCATCATCAAAAAGTCTGCAAACAATAAATGCTGGAGAGGGTGTGGAGAAAAGGGAAGCCTCCTGCACTGTTGGTGGGAATGTAAATTGATACAGCCACTATGGAGAACAGTATGGAGGTTCCTCAAGGAGCTAAAAATAGAACTACCAAACGACCCAGCAGTCCCACTACTGGGCATATACCCTGAGAAACCCATAATTCAAAACGAGTCATGTACCACAACGTTCACTGCAGCTCTATTTACAATAGCCAGGACATGGAACAAACCTAAGCGTCCATCGACAGATGAATAGATAAAGAAGATGTGGCATATATATACAATGGAATATTACTCAGCCATAAAAAGAGACAAAATTGACTTATTTCTAGTCAGGTGGGTGGACCTAGAGTCTGTCACAGAGAGTGAAGTAAGTCAGAAAGAGAAAAACAAATACCGTAATGCTAACACATATATATGGAATCTCAAAAGCAGAAAAAACCCAAAATGGTCATAAAGAACCTAGGGGCAGGACGGGAATAACGACACACACCTAACAGAGAATGGACTTGAGGACACGGGGAGGGGGAAGGGTAAGCTGGGACAAAATGAGACAGTGGCATGGACTTATATACACTACCAAATGTAAAACCGAAAGCTACTGGGAAGGAGCCGCAGAGCACAGGGAGATCAGCTTGGTGCTTTGTGACCACCTGGAGGGGTGGGATAGGGAGGGTGGGAGGGAGGGAGACACAAGAGGGAAGAGATATGAGGATATATGTATATGTATAGCTGATTCACTTTGTTATAAAGCAGAAAGTAACACACCAGTGTAAAGCAATTAAACTCCCATAAACATGTTATAAAAAAAGAAAAAAAAGATGTTATGGAATGGGGCTTCCCTGGTGGCGCAGTGGTTAAGAACCCGTCTGCCAATGCAGGGGACACGGGTTCAAGCCCTGGTCCGGGAAGATGCCACATGCTGCGGAGCAACTAAGCCTGTGTGCCACAACTACTGAGCCTGAGTTCTAGAGCCCGCGAACCACGACTACTGAGCCCGCGGGCCAGAACTACTGAAGCCTGCGCACCCACAACAAGAGAAGCCGCCGCGGTGAGAAGCCCGTGTACCTCAACGAAGAGGAGTCCCCATTCACCGCAACTAGAGAAAGCCCACGCGCAGCAACGAAGACCCAACACAGCCAAAAGTAAAAAAAAAAAAAAAAAGATGTTATGCACTGAACTCTGTTCCCCTCAAATTGCTATGTTGAACCCCTAATCCCCAATGTGACTATATTTGGAGATATGACCTTCAAGGTTAAACAAGGTCATGAGCTTGGAGCTCTAATCCAATAGGGGAGTATCCTTATAAGAAGACGAACAGAAGCCACAGAGCTCTCTCTCTCCCCACACTGAACAAAGAAAAGGCCATATGAAGACACAGTGAGAAGACAGCTGTCTGCCAAGGACAAAGGTCTCATCAGGCTATAAATTCTTTTAGCAAATTCTAGATTTCCAACTGGATTAAATTGTGGACCTTTGTATCAACTTAAATTGTTTCCTCCCTCTATGTACAAGTTTTCTGATTGCTTTCTCTCTGATTCTTTTTGCTTGTTTGTTWGTCACTGGATATACTTTGTGTGTGTGTGTGTGTGTGTGTGTGTGTGTGTGTGTGTGTGTGWGGGCAGTGTCCTSTCTAATCTGCTCATATTTATAGATTTCTTCCTTCAGAGAGCATCAGATCAGTTTCATTAGGGTTAGGGGCCTCCCCTATGGCAATGGTTGCTTAATAAGTTTTAAGGACTCTGGCTTAAGTTGCGTTTAATTTCATCACTGCATCCCAAAAGTGCCATGGTTGCTTTTCCCTATCATTAGGATGATCAGGATTTCTACTGCAACAGAAGCATATGCAATAGAATGGCACAGCAGATTACTGGGCCCCCAAGCCAGAGGTGGGTGGACTGAAGCCATCTTCACCATCTGCTATGGTGCTGCCACTTGTGCTGCATGGAATTATTATTATTATTATTTTGTCTTTACTCTCTGTACAAATTCTGTCAGAATAGTTTAGATTTCTAGCAGTGCAAATTTACAGCTGTGGGTTTTATCTCCATCTAATCATGAGTGGTCCAGACCTTCTGGGTGGTTATGGGGACAGGTTCGGAGGCCCACTGACCCACCTCCTGGGCGGCCCAGGAGAGGAGGACATCGCAGGCCATGCAGGACACGTGGGGGTTGCATTCTGGAACAGCATGAACCAGAAGGGTCTGTGGGAAGCGGGCTTTGCAGTACTAAGAGGGCGAGGTACCCCCTGGTGCCTAAGCAAGGATGTGATTGGCTTGTTTGAATCGTTCTGCTCGCTGACAAGGAAACACTATTCAGGGATAATAAGCAGGAATGCATCCGGTGCATTTAATAACAAGGGTTGTTGCTAGAGGACCCTATCTGGCGGAGCAGAGTGGGCAGCATAATCTGGGATTAGGCCGCTCGAGGCCCTCCCAGTTTCACCAGCCGTCTACTCAGCACGGCGGAATACTAACTTGGGCCCTCACCGCAACATCACCCCCTCCCCGCGCACTCACACACAGGGGTCAGTACACCTGGCTGAGGAGAATTCAGTCCCTGGAGATGGAGGGGTGGACCCTGGGGCGGTAGCTCCCCGACCCCCGCCATTTCAGCGCTATTAGGTACCACGGCAACACAGGGCCTGAAACAAGGGGGCTCCATCGCAGCTGGACGTGCCCAGCCCCACCACCAACTCCTCTAGGGACTGGCCAGCAGGCAGCGCGCGTGGGCAGCCGTTCAAAAGCCCAGGCCCACGTCTGCTCCAGCCGTCTCCTTCTAAGAGGTCGCCCACTCACCCACCGCCCTCCCAGCTCATGGCAGCCTGGCGACCCCGCTTACCAATCAAAGAAGTCCAGAACGACGTCAGGAACATCAGGCGAGGAGAGGTTAGAAGCCAAAGTGGAATTTCCGGCTGGGATGGGGGTCGTCGCCCTCCAAGGGCAGGGTCCTGATGAGGAGTAGGCAAACAGCGGCCCGCTGCATGTCGGGACGCCATAGCTCCGACCATCCAAGAACCCTGGAGACCACTGCGGACCGGGAGGAAGAGAGACGAGGGGGGGCGCGGGATAACCAAGAGGAGCGGGGCGAGGAGCTCGTGCTTCTGCAAAGAGCCGCCCGTAAGGTGAGAACATCGAGGCCAAGGGGAGCGCGGAGGGTGGGGGTCGACCAGCGGCCCTGAGCCTGGCAGCGGCAAGAAGAGCAGCAGCCCAGCAGCTTCACTCCACGTACCAACCCGACTACTCACACGGCCGCTGCGGACAGCGCGGGGTCTGAAGCACTTCCGGCTGCCGCTGGGCGGGCCCGAGGCCCGGCGCACAACTGACTCCGCCCACTCTGATGGCAAGCGAGCTTAGCCAATCCGGCAGGCGCCAGGAGCTTTTCAAATAGATGCGCGGTCCCGCCTCCTAGCACAGGCTGTGTGCCGCCCAGCCCTGTGCTCTTCTGGCGTCTGTAGTCGTTCCTTCCTCAGCAGCAGCTCCAGCTCCTTGGCAGCTGGAGAGCTGGGCCGGGGGTCGGCGGCGTGGGGCACCCCGCCCTGCGCCTCCCCTCTGCAAATACGCAAAATATGCTTTTCACTTGAAACAGCGTATGCCCACGAGTTTGCTTTTTGTGGTGAAAGAAGTAATTTGACGACCCAGGCTCTATGTGCAGTTTGAAAGTACTG